CACTGATGCTTAGGTCATCAGTCAGACAACCCCTGAAGGGTTCCCAGACTGTAAGAGGATGCAGGCCCGGGCTGAGGGACCCCACTCCCACCCCAGTGCACGAATTTCGTGCACCAGGCCTCTAGTATTAAATAATCTTATAGTCTCAAATACAACTATTTTTTCTCAAGTGAAAAATAATTCATAAATTATTCTAACAGACCCTCAAGCTAGTTGTTCAAAAATAAAATTAAAGCATGGTATACAGAACTTCACTACAAGTTAAAAGAACATAGCATGGAACAGGGACTAGGCTGTTTAAAGTTAGAATTAATAATACCAACTGCTTTCCTTCCAAGTCTATTGTTGTCATTGGAGAATATTTTTTTTATTGATTTCAGAGAGGAAGGGAGAGAGAGAGAGATAGAAACATCAATGATCATCATTGATTGGCTGCTGCCTGCACATCCCACACCTGGGATCAAACCCACAACCTGGGCATGTGTCTTGACTGGGAATCGAACTTCGACCTCCTAGTTCATAGGTCAGTGTTCCACTACTGAGCCACACCAGCTGAGCAGGATTTGATTTTTTTAACAAAACATAATGTGTGCTTTTCAAAATCATTAGACTTAATGTCTCAGATCTTTTCTATATAGTTCCACATGAGTTTTTAAATATCTGCTCCTGCATTTCTCCAAAGCTATCCAACAAACTGACTTATTTCCACAAGAGTATCCATACTAATAATAGGGTAATGTGCTAATTAGACCAGACTTCTTCCAGACAAAGCCACGGTGGCAGGGGCTGAGGCAGAGGCAGTTAGGGCCAATCAGGCTGGCAGGGGAGAGCAGTTAGGGGTGATCAGGCAGGCAGGCACAGTGGTTAGGGGCGATCAGGCAGGCAGGCAGGCAGGTGAGTGGTTAGGAGCCAGCAGTCCCAGATTGTGAGAGGGATGTCCAGCAGTCAGATATCCCCCGAGGGGTCCTGGATTGAAGAGGGTGCAGGCCAGGCTGAGGGACATCCCAGACCCCCCTCATGCACAAATTTCATGCACCAGGCCTCTAGTATATGTAATAAGATTGCAATTTTTACAAATGACCAGGAGATATCCTGTTTAACATACCTTGATCTCTTTTTCAAATGGTTTAATGAAAGGTGATCCTCTCATTGTCTGAGTTTTTATAATTTGATCATCAAGGAGAGCCTGAATCTCATCTACTGAAGAAAGAATACAGACTCCAGTTTCACGATATAGACTTACATGAAAAGCAATATCATCCCAAGTTCCCATCATTGTATGCATAGCCTTTTCTAATGAAAATTCCTAAAATGGAGGAAAGAAGAAAGAATGGGATTGTGAAAGAATAATCTTATTTACTGTATTGACTTTCCCTAGTAAATTCAGTAAGTATATGCCTTAAAATAATCTGTGGCTACACTATAATTAAATTAGAAAAGTTTTTTAAACAATTTAAAAATTCCTAAAAAGAATGATGATATAGTTTTAAAAATGCATTTGCTATGAAAACTTGTTGTCAGTACTGAAATAGACAATAGAATAGAATACCTCCTGGACTTTCCCTAAAGTAGCCTTTCTCCAGTCTATAATCTGAAGATGCTTTCTGAGTATTTCAAGAACCCTAGAGGACTATAGTTATTCTGCTAGAATACATTCAACACATCACATGCCACATACACACCCAATATTATTTTTTTTAAATATATTTTATTGATTTTTTACAGAGAGGAAGGGAGAGAGATAGAGAGTTAGAAACATCGATGAGAGAGAGAAACATCGATCAGCCGCCTCCTGCACATCCCCCACTGGGGATGCGCCCGCAACCCAGGCACATGCCCCTGACCGGAATCGAACCCGGGACCCTTGAGTCAGCAGGCAGACGCTCTATCCACTGAGCCAAACCGGTTTCGGCAACACACCCAATATTATTAATGGAAAGATTATATATCAAGACTAGCATATCATCCATGCATATCAGAATGTGGCAGAATTAAGAAGAGGTCAAATGAGCCTTTTCTAGTTTGTATTCAGTAGAAGGAAGTAGGAAGTGGGGGGGGTGGGGGTTGGGGGGGGGGAGTGGTCCTCTATCGCTTTCCCTCATCTCCGCCTACTGCTAGCCAGTGCTATGCATTCAACCACAGCAAAACCACAATTATTTGATTAATAAACTCATTAAATAAAGTATTTCAGTTTATCTTCATGTTCACCTTGCTTGCACCTGCACTTATCACTTCAAATTGTTCCAAGTATTGTGTAAGGTTTAATTTTAAAACTTTTCTCAGTGTAGTTCCAGAGTCTGGAGTCAAGTCATAGCCTACAATTTCTGACATCTGTTTCCAGTGACGTGCTCTCATTCCTGGATTGCATAGGATGGAGACAGTAGGGATATTTTCCTAATGGTAAAAATATAAAAATAATGTGCTACTTAAAATTATTTAATATATTTAATGAGTATAATCAAAATCCCAATTAAATTTGGAGGGGGAAGACAAACAAAATTATTCTAAAATTCATCTGCACAAATAAACATGTAGAAATATCCAGGAAATTTATAACAGTGAAAAAGAAGAGGAGTAAATGTTCTATCAGATATTAAAGTATATGATAAAACTATGGTAATTAAAATTATTGCATTATTATAGAAGTACAAAGTTGCTATACATGTTATATGCAGAAATATATAGTATAAGATAACATAATATAAGCACACACACACACACACAACATGAAAGGTGAAAAAAGCCTGCACAAAAATGCTAAAATGTAACGTTTGGAAATGAAAATTAGATATTCTACAAAAACACTAAGTTTATCATTCACACTACTGACATTAGAACTTTTTTTTCTATGAGTCTGTCTCTATTATGCTTGTTAGTTCATTTTGTTCATTAAATTCCACATATGAGTGAAATCATATGGTACTTGTCTTTCCTGACTGGCTTCTTTCACTCAGCGTAATGTTCTCCAGGTCTATCCATTCTGTTGCAAAGGGTAAACTTTTTCTTCTTTACTTTCTTTTTATGGCTGAGTGGTATTTTATTGTGTAAATGTACCATCGCTCTTTTATCTACTCATCTACTGATGGACACTTGGGCTGTTTCCAAATCTTGGCTATTGTAAATAACACTGCAATGAACATAGGGGTGCTTATATTCTTTCGAATTAGTGTTTCAGGTTTTTTTAGATAAATTCTCAGAAGAGAAATCTGGGTCATAAGGCAGTTTCATTTTTAATTATTTTAGATACTCCATACTGTTTTCCATAGTGGCTGCACCAATTTGCATTTTCACAAACAGTACATGAGGGTTCTCTTTTCTCTACATCCTCACCAACACTTGTTTGTTGATTTACTGATGATAGCCATTCTGACAGGTGTGAGGTAATACCTCATTGTGGTTTTAATTTGCATTTCTCTGATGATTAGTGATGTCGAGCATCTTTTCATATGTCTATTGGCCATCTGTATGTCCTCTTTGGAGAAGTGTCTATTCAGGTCCTTTGCCCATTTTTTAACTGGATTGTTTGGCTTTTTGGTGTTGAGTTTTCTAAGTTCTTTATAAATTTTGAATATTAAGCCCTAATCAGATTTATCTGCAAATATGTTCTCCCATTCAGTGAGTTGTCTTTTTATTTTGCTGATAGTTTTCCTTTGCTGTGCAAAAACTTTTTAATTTGATGTAGTCTCATTTATTTTTTATTTAGTTTCCCTTGCCTGAGGAGAGATAGATAGATAGATAGATAGATAGATAGATAGATAGATAGATAGATAGATATAGATAGATAGATATATAAAACATTACTACAAGAAATGTCTGAGATTTTACTGCCTATGTTTTCTTCTAGGATTTTTTTAGTTTCCAGTCTAGAACTATTTCTTTAAAACTAGAAACAAGATAACCATACCAATTATGACTACTTCTACTCAACACTAGATTGAGGTCTCAGCCAATGAAGAAATTAATATAAATAAGTAAAATATATTAAGAATAGAAATTAAGAAAAAACTGACATTGTTCACAGATTATTGTCTATGTATAGTAGCTGGATTTTAATATAAAAATTAAATAGAACTTCTATATACCAGCTTCAGATAAAAAATATAATTAACAAAAATATCAATTTACAAATGCAACAACAACAAAATAAAGTGCCTACAGATAAATCAAATGAAAGCTGTGCAAAGCTATTTTGGAGAAACTATATAACTTATAAGAGAAAAACTAAATAAATAGAGATAAATGGCATGCATTGATGGATTCATTATTATATAAGTGACAAAGAGTTATTATCCAGCATTTATTATAAAAATGCCACAAATTAACAATAGAAAGAAACAATAACCAAACAATGACAGAAGAAGATTCTGAAGGCATACATAGGAACTTCACAGAAGAAGAAATATGAAATGTAAGTAGAATGTAAGTACTATCAGGGGAGAGATTTTTGTTCACATGACTGTAAGTAGGAAAATCAATAAATTAGGTAAGCAATAATATCTAACAGTGAAAATGAAGGAACTACACTTACACCCAAGAATGTGGAGGAATCTTAGAAACATAACATCAAGTGAAAAAAAAATCAAGTCACAGAAGACTACATGTGCACGATATATTTTTATGAATTGTTATATACAAATTGATTTTTTAAAAATGCAAGAGAATCACAGAATTTATACTGCACTTATCTGTAAAGAGTATTAAAGAAATAAAATAGGGAAGGAATACACAGAGAGAAGTAGAAGTATTGATTATCTAACTTTCAAGTAGAGGGAAGGGTTAATGGGTGTTCATTTTCTTGTTATACTTTATAAGTTACATACTTTTTACATATATTCTTCAAATATTCGGTAATAAAAATGTATTTTTAAAAAAGAATACTTACTTATCTTTTCCTCTTCCCAATCCAATTCAAAGCAAGCCCATAAAAACCATACTTATATTCTGGTCACCTCCTTAGTAAAGCCTTATCTGTTCTTCAAATGGCAAAATTAATTGCTCCATGTTCTATTCTCTCACAGGATACTGTTATCCTCTCCCTAAGAATTTCTTCATTGTGATCTGTATTACAACCAGTTGTCCATAGTCTATTTCTCCTACCATGTTGGAGACCCCTGAGGGTCAAAAGTCAATTTGTGTGACCCAGATGATAAAAATACTGAGCTAGAAGACTCTAGCTAATGTCAATATCCTAGACAATTAAGTAAAATATAAATTAATAAAAATCATTTAGTTTGGAAAGGAAAAAGTACTAGTAAAACTATCTCTATTTTCAGATGATATGATCTTGTATACAGAAAATCCTAAGGAATTCATTTAAAAACTGTGAGAACTAATAAATGAGTTCAGCAAGGTTACAGGATACAATATCAACTTATAAAACTCTATTGTATTTCTATAAACTAGAAATAAACAATACAAAATTTTAAGTAAGGAGAAAACCCCATGTACAACAGCATCAAGAAGTATACAAGAAGTACAAGACTTATACACTGATAATTACAAATAATTTTTAGAAGAAATTAAAGAAAACCTAAATAAATAGAAAGACATTCCATGTTCATACATTGTAAGAATTAATAGTATTAAGATGGTAATATTTTCCAAGTCAATCTATAAGTTCAATGCAATCCCTGTCAAAATCCTGGCTTCCATTTTTTTTTAATCCTCACTCGAGGATATGTTTTTGGTATGTATGTTGTTGTTTTTTAATTGACTTAAGAAAGAGGAAGGGAGAGAGAGAAGAAAAAAAATATTGATGTGAGAGAGAAACATTGGTCAGTTGTCTTCTGTACATGCCCTGATCAAGGATCAAACCCACAACCTAGGTATGTACCCTGACCAGGGATCAAACCCGCAAACTTTTGGTGTATAGACGATGCTCCAACCAACTGAGCCACCCAGCCAGGGCTCAGCTACCTTTCATTAATGTTTAAAATGTATTTTAGCCCTAGCTGGTTTGGCTCAGTGGACCAAAGAGCGTTGGCCTGCAGACCAAAGGGCCCCAGGTTCATTTCCAGTCAAGGGCACATATCTTGGTTGCAGGCTCCTCCCTAGCGAAGGCCGTGGTCAGGACTCATGCAGGAGGCAACCAATCAATGTGTTTCTCTCACATAGATATTTCTCTCTGCTTTCCCTCTCTCTTCCACTCTCTCTAAAAATCAATGGGAAAATATCCTCAGGTGAGGATTTAAAATATTTTTTAATTAATTCATTCTTAATTGACTTCTGATGCCAAGTTGGTTGACTATAGGAGGAAAAAAGTGCGTGAAATAAGAGGTTACAGTTAGTGAGAGCTTAAAAAGAGTGTAGGAGCTGGGGAAAAAGTCCTGGAAATTATATTTGTCTTTTTTTAAAAAAAGACAGGACTGAATACATTTTCCAGACTCTTGAGTTTAAGTCAAAGGATCATCTCAAAGGCAAGTGAAACAAACAGCAAGACATTGAGGTGGCTCAGAAAAGAAACTGTGGAAAGTTATGGAAAGATATTCGTGGGTTTGATTCCGGGTCAAGGGCACATATATCAATTGCAGGTTCATCCCTGCCCTGGTCAGGATACAGATGGGAGGCAATCAATGAGTCTCTCTCACGTAAAGAACTCTCTCTCTCTCTCTCTCTCTCTCTCTCTCTCTCTCTCTCTCTCTCTCCCCCTCCCTCCCTCCCTCCCTCTTGAAAAGCCAATGGAAAAAATATCCTCGGGTGAGGATTACAACAAAACAAAAGATCATAAGATCATCTCAATAGATTCTGAAAAAGCATTTGACAAAATTAAACATCCACTTGTGATAAAAAATAAACTCAACAATGTGGGTATGGAGAGAGCATACCCCAACATAATAATGGCTATATATGACAAACCCATAACTAACATTATACTCAATGGTGAAAACTGAAAGCTTTTCCCTTAAGATCAGGAACAAGATATGGATGCTCAGTTTCACCACTTTTATTCAACACAGTACAGAGTTCCTAGCCACAGAAATCAGACAAGAAAAAAAAGGCATACAAATTGGAAAGGAAAAGCAAAACTGTCACTATTTTCAGATAACATGAAACTATATATAGAAAACCCTAAAGATTCCAACAACTATTAGAATAAATGAATTCACTAAAGTTAAAGGATACAAAATTAATATTCAGAAACCTGCACTTCTATACACTAATAACAAACTATCATAAAGAGAAATGTTTTAAAAAAAACAATCCAATTTACAATTGCAAAAAAAGAATAAAATGCCTAGCAATAAATTAACCAAGAAGGTAAAAGACCTGTATTCTGAAAACTATAAGACATTGGTGCAAGAAACTGAAGATGACACAAATAAATGGAAGAATATACTCTGCTCATGGATTGAAAGGATATTTTTTAAATGTCCATATCACTCAAAGCAATCTACAGATTTAATGCAATCTCTATCAAAATACCAATGGCATTTTCCACAAAACTAGAACAAATAATCCTGAGATTTATATAAAACCACAAAAGACCCAAACTTGTCTAAGCTTTTTGTCCAGTATAGATGCAAGTAACTTATAACTAATAAAAAAAAAACTTCAAATGGTATAATGGCATATTGTTATGGTATATTATCAATACTACCAATCTTTTCCTAACATTCCTTTATTAAATTGCCTGTAAGTACTCAGCTCCTCAAATGTTCTTTGAACCAGACTTACCATCTTACTGGTTCTCTCATTAATTAATAAATAGGATAGAATATTTGACATATTTATTTTTATCTTTGTATGACAGTCATGTTTTTGTTTTTTGCAAATAATAATTTAATAAAGTTCTTTTTTAAAAACTGGAGAACTGTAGAATATCCAACTTTTAATTTTGATTATTAAGGACTTTGGTTGTTTATGCTAAGTCAGTGGTTGGCAAACTCATTAGTCAACAGAGCCAAATATCAACAGTACTTCTTCAAAATAGACTCGCCCAAGCCAAAAACCGACTTCTGTGCATGGGCCACGAAGTTTCAATCGCACTGTACGTGCGTGTCCACACGTGGTATTTTGTGGAAGAGCCACACTCAAGGGGCCAAAGAGCTGCATGTGGCTCGCGACCGCAGTTTGCTCAACACGGTGCTAAGCGAAATAAGCCAGTCAGAGAAAGATAAATATCATATGATTTCACTCATTTGTGGAATATAATGAACAATATAAAATGATGAGAAAAAACAAACAGATCCAGAGACAGAGAAGCATCGATCAGACCATCAAACCTCAGAGGGATGGTAGGGAAGGGAGGGGGTAAGGGGGCGAGACCAACCATAGGACTTGTATGCATGCATAGAAGCTAACCAATGGACACAGACACCAGGGAGGTTAGGGCATGAATGGGAGGGGGGGGGGGCAATGGCAGGGTAAGGACACATACATAATACCTTAATCAATAAAGAAAAAAAAAGGACTTGGGTTTTAACCTTCCAGTATTATTACCATCACTTGTTTTTGCTTACCATCATATTCCCCAGGATTCATCAGAACATGCTAGAACAGTCACTCAATAAGTATTTGTTAAATAATTTTTAACACATATAAAGTAGAAAAAAACATACTCTCAAAGTGGATAAATTTAGCTTCATTAAAAATTCATTATTTTCTCACTCATGAAGAAGCTGAGAGAAGTAGTGCCAACCTGTGTGGAGAGCACCTCCTTATGAGGCTGGAGAGAAAACAAAAAGACTAATTCTATTCAACTGCTCAACAAGTATGTAAAAGCTCTATATCCCATGAGAAAAGGCCTCCAAGACAAATTAATCAAAACAAAAGGGGAAATAATACCTATAGTGCAACATATTTTATGTAAAAAGATGAAAGGATAAAAAACATATATTCACATCATTATATGTGTAACAAAACTGTGGAAATATACAAAAGAATGTAATAACACTGGTAACCTGAGTTACATGGGTGAAAAACTTTGGAAAGAAACTTTTCAGATATATCTTTTCCTATTTTTTCAAACCATACAAATACATTAAACATTGAAAATAATTTTAAATAGTTACTTAAAAATTTTTCATACAGCTCATGGAATCTCAGAGCGCTAGACACAGACAGGAACAATACTCAAAATCCCATCACAGAGTTGGCACTCGAGTATATTGACTGTAGAAACTTGGCACTACATTAGAACCACTGCCATTATTGCCTTGGGAAGGTAGATGCAATATTAACTATCATAAAACTATTATCCTCTCTTTATAAATGAGGTGACTAAGGTACAAGAAGCTACATATGCAGAATAAACCTAGGTAGTGTGATATAAACCTAGGTAGTGTGACTCCAAAACTTTTCTAATTAAGTAATGTCACCCTGTGTTGCTGCCCTTAGTATAGGCTAACTGGTCTGTCCTATTAATTTTTTTTATCCTCTCTCTATATCATTGTAGCTAGTTGTTATAGTCTTTTATTTTTGTTAAGTATTGTTCCATGAAGGAATTCATTTTGATGACTTCATCAGGAAAGAATGAAGCATTGGATTCAGGTTCTGGATTCATCTTTGGTTTTGCTTCTAAATCTATTTCTCTTCATTAACACTTGATGATGTGAAGAGCTCTCTCTTCCAGGGCTTTTGAAAATATCATTAAGTGTGTTCATACCTTAAAAACTTTTATGTTCTCCATTACTGTAGAGCACATATTAATAGTAGGATTCTCTTTTGGTTCTTCTTCAACTCTCTCTTCTCCCAGAGATCGTCTTTTTGCTAACTTTCTTTTTTCTTGTAATTCCTTCTTCAGTTTCATTTGGAAAAATTTCAGTGTCTTAAAAATCTCTCGGGAAAATTCATCTACATCAGCTTCCATGCTTTCCCCATTAAGATCCAAAAACCCTCCATCCATCCACCTGAATGAAAAGAAAAAAACAGTATTAAACTCAGAGACGTTTGGTGTTTGAAGGAACCTTAGGGATTCGTTAGGCTAGAACTCTCATTTTAAAAGAGAAACAGCCCTGACTGGTTTGGCTCAGTGGATAGAGCGTTGGCCTGTGGACTGAAGGGTCCCAGGTTCGATTCCAGTCACGCGCACCAAAAATAAAAAAAATAAAAAGAATGCCTCCTTCTTAGGGGCCACTGCCTGCGGGGAAAAAAATAAAAAATAAAAGAGAAACAAATGAGGGCAAGAGTGTTAACAGGTTTTCTTAGTCACACAGATAGAGCTGATGGTAGAGAGACAAGATTAAAACCATCAGTTCAGCTATGCTGCATCGCTAAAATATGCACCAGACTGCAAATGGATAACTAATAGTATCAAAAGAAAATGTAGATTTGAATCCATACTTCTAATTTTTGGTGTGAACATTCGTCAGATTAACTACCTGCATTAACAAAGGAATCACCTCTGGAAAACCTAAGTTATATTTTAGATATCATATGCATTAGTAAGCTTAGGTAGTTACTTTAGTAATATTTGATGCTTCTCCTTTAGGATACTTGGTTCTCTTTCAAATTAACAAATAAGTCCTACTTTAAACACTTAACTAACAAAACCAAAAAAATCAATATGCTAGTATGTTCATTTTATGAATCCTTTTACATCATTTGCTTTATTTTTATGACATTTATATTTATGAAATTACCGTTTTTCTGTTCGTTGCCACTTCAAGACTAAATTAAAAAACTTCTGATAGGGCTCAATGTTAACTTTCAATTTATCCAATTCAGGATATTTTGTCACTTCCCACTTGAAAAGTTCTTCTTCTTTATTAATAAACTGAACTGCTTCTTCAGATTCCTGAATACGTTTTTGCAGTTGTCTTACATCGGTCACATACTGAAAACAAATAATTTTTATCTCAAAAAATATCCATGTAATGTTATATAGAAACTTTCTCAACTTTACAACATTACTATGATAGCAAAAAGTATGGTTATATCTTAGAAAACTAAGCCACAAAAAAGATCATATAAATAGTATCAGTTCTAGGCCCATGAGTCAGGCTCTTGCTTGCCATGGTAAGGACACATTTTTCTTAAGCTTATGTAAACATGTCCTGTATTAATCTATGAACCAGCCATAACTATTGTCTTATATATTTATCAAACCTGTTGCATGCGGTCCAGTTCTGCAAATTCTGCAAACTCCTCCATGCGGCGTGATTCCTTTTCTAGTTCCAAAATCAATTTCTCTCTCTTGGCTATTAACTCATTTTCTTTTTTGCGTTTAGCAACTTCAATTATCTTTTTAAAAGACAATTAAGTCATGTTAATTATTTTGTTACAAAGGAGTTATCAAATCAGAAATCTTAATGCTTTGTTTAGTCATAACTATTAAAGAAGCAAAAACAAAACACTGACTGATATTAAAATGCAAAGAATAATAAACCATACAAAAATTTTCCTAGATTTCCAAAGTGTCTGTAACAATTGTTATTTATTAATCAGATATAATTTCACTATTTATTGATTCTAGGATAATAATTAAAAAGCTACCATTTATTATCTACATTACCACAGGTATTATTATTCTCATTTCAGAGATGAAAAAACCTAGGCTTACAGAGGTTAAGAGGCAAGTCCAATGTCATAAAACCGTAAAAGTCAAAATCTAGATTAGAACTTTAGTTTACCTGACTTTTCATTATTATAATACCATCTCACTTCCCAATTTAGAAGAAACTGGCTAACACTAAAACTTTTTCAAAATCTAAACTATATTCAGAATCCTAATTCTGCTATTTCTTATCCCTGTGATATTGAACAAGTTATTTAACTTCTCTGAGACTTATTTTTCTCATCTATGAAATGAGAAAAATAAGATTACCTGGGATTTTTGTGAGTATTAAATTATTTAATAAATGGAAAAAACTTAGTGTAGTACTTATTGTTATTATCAAGTTATATCATAGTTCTGACTTCTTTAACATTAGTCTCACTTCTTACTGTGAGTTAAGCCTAACAGCCTGTCCTAAACCTGCAGGGCCATAAATGTTGCTAGTCCCAAACTCATATTGACACATGAAGTTACTTTTTAAAGGTAGACAGCAAGTATGTATGAAAACTGAATAAACACTATGCTTAAAATGTAAGAAAATAGCCCTAATCAGTTTGGCTCAGTGGATAGAGCATCAGCCTGCGGACTCAAGGGTCCCAGGTTCAATTCCAGTCAAGGGCATGTACCTTGGTTGCGGACACAACCCCAGTGGGGAGTGTGCAGGAGGCAGCTGGTTGATGTTTCTCTCTCATCAATGTTTCTAACTCTCTATCCCTCTCCCTTCCTCTCTGTAAAAAATCGATAAAGCATATTTTTTAAAATGTCAGAAAATAAAATATACACTGAAAAATATATTTACCTCATCATTTTCATCAAAGATGGGATAAATTTTCCAAGGCCACAAAAGAACAGCTGAATTCAAAGCTAACTCTTCTTGAGGAAATATAAAAACATCTAAAAAGTAATTCATTCGGCGTTTGGATTCCTACAAAAAAGAAACTCCATATATAATACACCATATAGAAAATTTAAGGCAATTTGAAAAAGATAAGAACCAACAACTTCTAATACTCTTTCAAATTTCAATTTGACTCAGATTAATTGATATTTTATATCACCCAAATAAGATGGGTATTTCAGTAGCTGCAAGATTTATTTGACCTCATAACACACAATTGCAGACTTCTATACAGAAAATAAAGCTTTAAAAAAATTTTACTTGCAGATGATTTAATATAAGGTATTCTTGTTCCTCCTTGTACATGACTAAAAAAGGTGACCAAATATACAGCAAGCCTTTACTATAATTTTGATTCTAAATAATTTTATATATTTTATTCTTATGTATTTGATTTTTAAATTTTTGGTGACAAAGATTGTAGCATTTTTATTTTGTTACACAAAATAAGTAATGTTACCACCTTTTTTGCCTATAGTTAGTCTACAGAAATTGTCCAGAAAGAATTTAGGAATAAATGGCAAAGGAAAAAAAGCACCTTGAAAACCAATAGATTTACCTGAGTAGAGAAGTTGAATATTTTTACCCCCTACAGCTTTCATTGATCTATATGCAGTGCTATAATTTTTAAAACTTGAAATATAGATTCAAAGGTAAATTGAAGGTTTTTGGTTTAATCTTATCTTATATAATAAAAGCCTAATATGCTAAGTGTCCGGTCATCTAGTCGTCTGTTCAACCAATCAAAGCGTAATATGCTAATGATATGCTAAGGCCGCTCAACCACTCGCTATGACATGCACTGACCACCAGCAGGCAGACAGTGGACCAATCAGTCGCTATGACGTTCACTGACCACCAGGGGGCAGTCGATCTGTCAACCAGTCACTATGATGTGCACACTCCAACTGGTAGGTTAGCTTGCTGCTGGGGTCTGGCCGATCAAACTAAGTGAGATGGGCTGGACACGCCTTGGAGCCCACCCATGGTCCCTCCTGGCTGGCCAACCTCCCATATCCATCCCCAGCCCCGACTGTGCACCGGTGGGGTCCCTTGGCCTGGCCTGCACTCTCTTGCAATCTGGGCTGAGGGATCATCCCCTCCCTCGAGTGCATGAATTTTGTGCACCAGGCCTCTAGTGTATATATATAACAAATATAACGTACAAAATGCATTCTCTCTCTCTCTCTCTCTCCATATATATATATATATATACACATATATATATATGTGTGTATATATATATATATGTGTATATATATATATATATATATATATATATATATACACGAAAATTTGTGCAAGAGTAAGCCTTCTTTCCCCCAGTGCAAGAGTAAGCCTTCTTTCCCCCAGCTGCCAGCACCAGCTTCCCTCTGGCACCTGGGACCTGGGCTTCCCTCCTCCAGCCACCTGTAGGCACCAAGGACCTGGGGTGCTTCTCCTCCGGCCACCTGTAGGCACCAAGGACCTGGGGTGCTTCTCTCCTCTGGCCACCAGCAGGCATCCGGGACCCAGGCTGGCTTCCCTCAGGCCACTCACAGGCACCCAGAACCTGGGTTGGCTTTCCTCTGGCCCCGGCTTCGTCAGGAAGGATGTCTGAAATGATGTTGGGAAGATGTCTGGTCTAATTAGCATATTGCCCTTTTATTATTAGAGATTCCATGTAGAGGTATAACCTAATAAAAAGTTATTCCTGTAATTGATTATATTAAGAACAGAAAAAAACATTTTATCACTTCAATGAATGCAAAAAAGTACTGGATAAAATTTAACATCCAATCATAGTAATTTAAAAATACATAATAAAAGAAAACTTACTTATCTGATAAAGGTACCTTTAAAAAAAACCTACAGTATGAGGGCTTGCTTGGGGTGGGAATGGCTGGGGGGGTCAATTGGGGTAAAGGATACATATGTAAAATTTTAGACAATAAAATAATAATAAAGCTAGAGAGAATTCCAATGCAAAAAAAAAAAAAGAAAAAAGAAAAAGAAACCTACAGCAAATGTCATACTTAATAGTGAGTCCTTGAACTTTCCCTTTGAAGTTAGGATCAAGATAACTGCTATTCAACATTGTGGCAGAAGCCCTAACCAGTCTGTTGTAACAAGAAAAATAAAGTTTTGGAAATGTGTAATGTGTTGAGGACAAACCCAAACTCTTGTTATTTACAAGTTATATAATGGTAAATGAAGACAATTCAAAAGAATATTCAAATTCCAAAATGGTGGCAGAATATGTGGAAGCTACGCTGACACTCTCCTAGGACCAAACTGGAAATACAACTAAAATACAGAAAAACCACCCTGAAAAATCAACTGAAGACTAGCTGGAGAGAACCTTGATAACCGAGGATGGAAAGTGGAGACCACCTAGACACTTTAGGAAGTGTGGAGACGTGAGAGGGCTGCCTGGGCTCCCATAAACAGAAGGTGAAGTTCTGGAGAGATATCTCAGCTGTGGGAGGTTGCCACTGAGAACTCTGGGGTCTAATCCCCAAGTTGGGCCCCCCAGCAGAGAGCACCAGAACAGAGAAAGGTGCCTACATAACATCTGGCTGTGAAAAGCAGCAGGGTTGGATGGCGGCATAGGTACACACCTGTACTTGCTGCCATGCACAACCACATAAAAAATACAACTAAAAGACAAAATGAATATCATCCAGAACCACGGGAAGGCTGGCTGAGTGGAAATTCTACAACAAGAAGGAAAGTGAAAAGCTCATTTGAAGGTAGGAGGTGCAGAGGTGCAGAGGTGCAGAAGTGCAAAGGTACGGAAGTGCGCGAAATGGGCTGGCAACTGGGTGCGCTGTTCTCTTTTTCAATCCGGAGGGAGATACAAGCTCCCGATTGCTCTGAACTTCAGTTTTGGGCGAGACTCTGGGGACCCAGACTCATACAGGAAGAAACTGGATTGTCTGGCATCGGGCAGGAAGACGAGGGCGGCTTTCTCTCAGAGGTGCTTGCAGCGATTATTGTTCCGGCCCGGAGACAGAGACATGGGGAAGCCTCTGATGCAGGGCTGACTGGCAGCCACTGCTGTTTGCTCCACCCTGGTGATTCTCTGAGACCCCGCCGCACCCAATTTACAACCCCACCCAAGCTGTGTGCAGCGGCCTTTGCATATGAATGACCTGTGCTCTCACCACCTAAAACATAACAAACTGCAGCTGGGTCAGAGGGCCCCAGAGCTTCCAAAAGAAGGCCTAAGGCTTGACAGCTTAATGCAGGCCTAAGGCCTGCATTACTACACAGCTGGGCCTCATCTGGGCACCTCCAAACCCCAAACAAAGAGGAGGAATATACAAATGTCTCTGTAGCTCCTGTTGGGTCGCCTCAGGCAGTGGTTGACTTCTCACCTCTTTGGAGATCCAAAAGCCAGTGTACCCAGGGGTCAGAGTGAGACCATACCAGATTAAAACTCTTCACATCCATAAGAGACACACTCAGGGGGAAGACTCAGTGAGCACCAAAGCCCCACTGAAGCAAGTCCTGCCCCATAAGGGTGTCTCCAGCACAGAAGTTCTCCCATTGTAGACACAGCTGGTCCTCACATCCAAGTGGCTTGGTGGTCAATTCCTCCCAGTGATACCAACAGCAATCAAGGCTTAACTACAACAGGACTGTGCTACACAGCCCACAAAGGGGTGCACCAAGAGTGTCCACCTCAGGTAATTAGGGAGGCTGAGCCACTGGGCCCTATAGGACACCTAGCACACAAAGCCACTCTATCAATACAGGGAAGCAGCCAAAATGTGGAGACAAAGAAACATGTCACAAACAAAAGAAATGGAGGAAAGCAAACTACTGGATATAGAGTACAAAACCACGGTTATAAGGTTACTCAAGAATCTTCTAGAAACCTCCAAGAAATTTAGTAAGACCCTCAAGAATATGAAAAAGGACCAATTAGAAAATAAGCATACACTAACTGAAATAAAGAATAATATATAGAGATCCAACAGCAGACTAGAGAATCCCAAGAATCAAGTCAAAGATCTGAAATACAAAGAAGCAAAAATCACCCAACCGGAAAAACAAAAAGAAAAAAGAATCCAAAAATATGAAGATAGTGTAAGAAGCCTCTGGGACAATTTCAAGTGCACCAACATCCGAATTATGGGGGTGCCAGAGAAGAGAGAGAGCAAGATATTGAAAACCTATTTGAAGAAATAATGACAGAAAACTTCCCCTACCTGGTGAAAGAAATAGACTTACAAGTCCAGGAAGCGCAGAGAACCCCAAACAAAAGGAATCCAAAGAGGACCACACCAAGACACATCATAATTAAAATGCCAAGAGCAAAAGGCAAAGAGAGAATCTTAAAAGCAGCAAGAGAAAAACAGTTAGTTACCTACAAGGAAGCACCCATATGACTGTCAGCGGATTTCTCAACAGAAACTATGCAGGCCAGAAGGGAGTGGCAAGAAATATTCAAAGTGATGAATAGCAAGAACCTACAACCAAGATTACTTTATCCAGCAAAGCTATCATTCAGAATTAAAGGTCAGATAAAGAGCTTCACAGACAAGAAAAAGCTAAAGGAGTTCACCACCACCAAACCAGTATTCTATGAAATGCTGAAAGGTGTTCTTTAAGAAGAGGAAGAAGAAGAAAAAGGTAAAGATAAAAATTATGAACAACAAAGTGACAACAAATACATATCTATCAACAAGTGAATCTAAAATTCAAGTGAATAAAAAATCTGATGAACAGAATAAACTGGTGAATATAATAGAATCAGGGGCATAGAAAGGGAGTGGACTGACAATTCTTAGGGGAAAGGAGGTGTGGTGGTGTGGGAAGAGACTGGACAAAAATTGTACACCTATGGACGAGGACAGTGGGGTGGGGTGGGAACCGGGTGGAGGGGAGCTATGGGGGGAAAAAAGAGGAACAACTGTAATAATCTGAACAATAAAGATTTATTTTTTAAAAAAAACAGCAGGGTTGCTATCTGTCAGAGAGAGAGGGCTAGAAAGTCATGCACCCTCTTAAAGAGCCAACACACAAAATTTCGGGTGCAG